ACACGGAGTCTAGGGAGAGAACTTTAGAAAGATGTTCAAATCGTGGCAGATCAAAATCTAGATGGAGCAACTCTAGATCAGGAAAGAAAAATTTTAACTGCTATAATTGTGACAAGAAGGGTCATTTTAAGAGGGAGTGCCGAGCACCAAAGAAAAATACCGACGCACTGGAGTCTGCCAACGTGACCGAGGAAGGAGGTAATTCTATGATTCTAAGCGTCAACAGTTCGATTGAATCATGAATTCTTGATTTAGGGGCATCATTTCATGTCACCTAATGTCGAGAAATCATGGAGAACTACGTCAGCAGTGATTTCGGAAAGGTTCATCTGCTAAACTATGTCAGCGATGATTTCGGAAAGGTAGATCTAGCAGATGATGAAACCTTAAAGATTATTAACAAGGGAGACATTCGATTAAAATTATCAAATCAGACCACATGGAAGCTGCAAGGAGTGAGATATATTCCTAGGCTTAAAAGGAATTTGATCCCTATGAGACAGCTTGATGAAGATGGTTACTGTATAACATTCTCAGGTCATGAATGGAAGATTACCCAATGAGCACTCATCATTGCTTGAGATAAGAAAACTAGTACTCTCTATGTAACCTCTAACTTAGAGAATATTATTGTAATAACAGATAAAAACTCAAACATATGGCACCAAAGACTTGGCCATATGAGTGAGAAAGGGATGAAAACACTTCTGTCAAAAGGAAAGCTGCTGGATCTGAAGAATGTAGATGTCGGCCTATGTAAGGATTGCATCTTTGACAAATAGAAGAAAGTCAATTTTGCAAAGATTGATAAGACACCTAAGGCAGAAAAGTTAGAGTTGATTCATACCGACGTATGAGGGTCATCTCTAGTTCCATCTTTTGCAGGCTCACTGTACTATATCACCTTCATTGATGATTCTACAAGGAAGGTGTGGGTCTATTTTTTAAAGAAGAAATCAAAAGTCTTTGATACCTTCAGAAAATAGAAGATCACATTGGAAAATAAAACTAGTTTGAAGATAAAGCGGTTGAGGTTAGACAATGGAGGAGAGTACAAAGACAGTAGATTCAAAGAATTTTGTGCAAACAACAGGATCAAGATGGAGAAAATAGTTCCTATGATACCGCAGCAGAATGACGTAGCTGAGCGCATGAACAGAACTTTGAATGAACGTGCCAGAAACATGAGATACACGTCGACTTGCCCAAGTTCCTATGGACTGAAGATATCTATATCGTAACCTACCTAATCAACCGTGGGCCCTTAGTTCCCTTGGATGCGGAATAACCGAAGTAACTTGGAGCAAAAAAGAGGTAAACCTTTCGCATTTAAGAATTTTTGGTTGTATCTCTTATGTACACAGATTTTGCTGAAAGAAGTGAACTTGATGCCAAACCTAACAAATGTGTTTTTGTTGGTTATGGTGGTGATGAGTTTGGTTACCGGTTTTGGGATTATGAAAATCGGAAGATCATTAGAAGTAGAGATGTCATATTCAATAAGAATGTGATGTACAAAGACAGATCAATTGCAGAATCAAGTAGCTTCAGTACAAAAGCTGAAATAAAAGAATTTGCTAAATTTGAGGAGATTTCCGAAAATAATGTTCATACTAGTCCTGAAGTAGTTTAAAAAGAACCAAGCACGCCAGAAGTGAGACGCTTCTCCAGAATTTCTAAGTCAATCTAGCGTTATTCGCCTTCTTTGCACTACTTGTTACTGACTGATTGTGGTGAACCAGAGTGTTGTGATGAAGCAATACAGGTGAAGGATTCAGTCAAATAGGAGTCTGCTACAAGATGAGATGGACTCGCTTATGTCAAATCAGACGTGAGACTTAGCTGAATTATCATCAGGTAAGAAAGCTTTTCATAACAAGTGGATTTACAGGATCAAAGAAGAGCATGATGAGAATAAACGTTATGAGGTAAGATTGGTTGTCAAAGGTTTTCAACAAAAAGAAGGTATTGACTACAATAAAATTTTCTCTCCGGTTGTGAAACTGACTATAATCAGACTGGTGTTGAAAGTTATAGTTGCTGAGAATTTATATATTGAGCAGTTAGATGTAAAAACAGTTTTTCTTCATGGTGATTTAGAGGAGGAGATCTATATGAAGCAACCAGAATGCTTCATAATGACAGGTAAGAAAAATCTAGTATGTCATTTGAAGAAGAGCTTATATGAATTAAAACAAGCTTCCAGACAGTGGTACAAGAAGTTTGACAGCTTTATGGACAACTGTTTCACTAGATGCTAAGAAGATCATTGTTGCTATCTCAAAAGGTTTGATAATAGCTTTATTATTTTATTGTTATACGTTGATGACATGCTCGCTGCGGGTTCAGATCTGCAAGAGATTATAAAATGAAGCAAAAATTATCAAAACAGTTCGCAATGAAAGATCTTGACGCTGCAAAGTAGATATTTGGAATAAGGATCAAGAGAGACACGAAGTCTGGGACTTTGATGTTATCGCAGGCGGAGTACATCAACAAAGTACTCTCCAGGTTCAATATGCAATATGCTAAACCAGTGAGTACACCTTTAGGTGTTCATTTCAGACTTTCCAAAGAGCAGTCACCAAAGACAGAAGAAGAGCGTGCACACATGACGAAGGTCTCGTACGCCTCAGCAATTAGAAATCTAATGTATATCATGGTTTGTACAAGATCAGATATTGCTTAAGCAGTGGGAGCTGTTAGAAAGTACATGAATAATTCGGACAAGGTACACTGGGAAATAGTCAAATGGATCCTCAGATATCTACGGGGCATCACAGGTAAAACACTTTGTTTCAAAGGTGGAAATACAATACTAACAGGTTATGTGGATGCTGATTTAGCAAGAAATATTAATATCAGAAGGAGCATTACAGGGTATGTCTATATTCTAGGAGGTACTGCAGTGAGTTGGGTTTCTCAACTGTAGAAAATAGTTGCTCTCTCCACAACTGAAGTAGAATATGTCGCTGTTACAGAAGCCAGCAAGGAAATGGTTTGGTTTCAAAGTTTCTTAGATGAATTAGGCAAGAAATAAGAAGACAATGCCTTATATTACGACAGTCAAAATGCTATTTATCTAGCGAAGAATCTGTCTTTTCATTCAAGAACGAAACATATATAGGTGCGATATCATTTTATCTGGTCACTTCTGAAAGATAAAATTTTAAAACTTGAAAAGATCAGTGGAGTTCAAAATCCGACAGACATACTGATAAAGACGGTAACTACTGACAAACTGAAGCTGTGTTCAGCTTCAGTTAGCCTGTAATAGTATCAAGATCGGGAAAGAACTACTGCACGAGATGTGAAGATAGATTAAAATCAGTTTTGAAGTGGGAGATTGTCAAGATTGATGGTTGTTTTTGTGTGATGGTTGTTTTTTTGTCAACAAAAACAACCACCGAAAGCAGGGGAGCAAGAGTTAAAAAAAGGATGGAAGAAAAAAGGAAAGGGGGATGATTGACAGGCCATCATTTGTGGTTTGATTTATGCTCATGATGGCTATAAAAACCCTCTGCTCTCCCTTTAATTTGCATCCTCATCTGTTGAGTGTATTCAATCATTCTGATTGTTTTTGAGAAGAGAGGCAAAATCAAAGAGTGATTTTGTGAGGAAAAGTTCTAGAGATATTTTTTCTTATGAGTTGTGTGTAAAAACACTTGTAAATTTTCCCCTCTTAGTGAAAGATCAGCAGCAGCCCGTGGACATAGGTAATTTTGTACTGGACCACGTTAAATTTGTGTGCATTATTATTCCGCTTTATTCTTTCGCTTTCTTGCAAATCTGGTGATAAGGAAACCTTGTGCCATACAAATTTTTCACCAACATTTCAGATTTCGATTCATTTCAAAGAGAAGAATAAAGTTATACAAAAGTTTCTATTTCCTCTTCTGATGTGGTGAGGGATCTGATGATTGAGTTGATAGCAGTTTTTCTGCAAAGTTGCCTACTCGACGAGTACCACTTGTACGTAACCTTTCGCTATCATTTGGTCAGTCATGCTTCCCAGTTCCTTTAGGTGACCATGACTTGGTCATCTTCCCCACTATTCACTGTCTCTAGCAGTCATATACAGGGATGATAATGAACGGATCTACACAAGTGGGTGTGTGGGCACATGCCCCCATTAATATAATTTCAAAATTACTTTAACTTGTCTACAATTTTCATAGGTGTCCCCATAAAGTATTCGTTTGATGCCCCACATTGAGAACAATTATGAAAGATTCTTATTGGAACTTAATGATATTTTGTTACTTTTTGTGATGAAAACAAAAATGATAAATATAGTGATATGAAAATGATATTGAAAACTATTATGTATTGAGATTTTTTGAATTGTATAAATAAGTTTTTCTATTAGTAGAATTTATATTAATATAGTTATTTATTCATATTTATAATTGTTGAAGTGCCCCATAAGGGAAAAAAATTCTGGATGTCTCTGGTGGAGTACTTTTTTGGGTTTTCTTGGATCATTTCATGGTTTGAACTTCATTTGTGACGCTGCTTACAATCTTTGACAATAAACCATCATATGTTTTTTTTCCCATTCCCATGGGGCAATTTTTTTTTATAACAATGTAAAAAATGAATGAAATAATCCAAATATCTAATGGTTGTTAACTACTTTTTCTGTAAATAGTTGTACTCTTTTCCTCTAATCGTTTTGTTTGGTACTATAATTTTTTTAGTTTACCTCTATATGTTTTAAGATCTTACAGTTCCTCAACAATCAATAGTTTCAGCAAGACTTGGTGATGTTAATCGTGTTAGTTGACATCTTTCGTATAAGCAGTGGAAGGATTGCAGTATATCAGTTTCCTATAATCATTTATATTGACTCTGTTGGTTTCATTTGAATAATTATTTGTTCACTCCTTTCCTCTTTATTTCCGTTTAAAAGTTGCAGGATCCTTATGCTATTAAGGATGATTGATTGAAGTCAGAATACTTATGATTTTATTTTTAATTGTGTATTACTAACAGAGCAAATCAATTTCTCTATGGGAAGCTATAAAATGTTGCATGGTCACTGCCCTCCTATCCATTGGTTAGTGTACACTATTGTTCACACCATCTGCTTTCATAAAGTTGAAATTTCACTATAACTATAGTTCTAGTTCTAATTCCTAGTTGTTATTTACAATTCTATATCTTTTGCAGGTCTTACTGTATTGCTGGATACAATTATTTGGCAGGAACTAATATGGCCAGAACTGGAAGTATTTTGGTTTAACTCGGTTTTAAACAGGAGCTCAGAATGGGGTGTATCCTTATATTAGTAGTGTGTTACTTACTCTTTAGCGTATTGCACTGTCTCAGAGTATTCATTGATAGGAACGCTAGACAGATATAATATTCATGCACTTTTTATTCTCATTTTGTCTACTTGATGATTTGTCTTTATTTTCTTGCATCTCTGTGTTTACCGTGATTCTGTTAGTACCTGTCTTGTGGGGATCATGTGCATATCTAGTCTAAGCTACAGGGTTGCTTAAAGCCTCCCTTTTCATATGCACTTTGCATTGTCGTATGTACCACTCATTTTGTCTACTTGATGTTTTGTCTTTATTTTACTATAAGTTAATTCTGCATACCCTGAAACAGTATAAAAATAGTATGATTGATTTCTGTACATGTTTGAATATCAAACTTGTCAGTCTAATGTAGAAGTGCATGTCATCCATATTCTTGCTATGCACTTTATTCTCGTTCCATTTAACTCTGTGGAGTTTTACTTTTCTAAAGAAAGGAAAATCTTCAGCTCTTCCTTATGGCCTTTCTCGTGATTAAGGAGAAAGCCTTGACCATTTTTTGGTTGTTCTGAAAATTGACATGACTGCTTCATAGTCTTTTATCAGTACCACTGATATAGGCATATAGCATAGGGCGTTTGTGTATAAGCAGTCTTACATGATGATATAAGGCATATAGCTGTGAGGAGAACTTTAAGAAATATACCTGACCCTTGTCCAACTAATTTTAGAAAGCGGACATGAAGTGTAGGATATACATCTAAGAAGTGTACAATGAGTTTTTTCTAAATAAAACATGTTTTACATAATTGACACATCTGAATAAATGTATGCACATGTTCAAGAAGAGCCCAAGAAGTGTCAGTGTCCTGTACGGGTACGGTATGTGACAGGGCTTCATGATAGAAGTATGATAGAAGTACCCATGCAACATATCGGGTAGAATATCCGTTAAATTTATCAGCTTTTACATATACATCCATTATAAAGAATGAAGACCAACGAACTGGGTTGATCTTTCATATGGATAACCTATCATGAGTTTTTGGTAGACTTCTTGGGTAGTGAACTAAGGATACACCTTAGGAACACTTTAACCATGTGTGTGCGTGCGCCCGCCTGTGTGCATGTATGTACCATGTGCTTATTACATGCATGTTTGTATGTAGCAGCTGTTTGAAGAGTCAGCCAGTAAGTTGAACTTGCAAATACATGCTAGCTATTAATGATAAACGTTTGAAGGATTTGATAAAAAAAATAAAAGATGCAAGTATAACACAGAAAGAAAAGCAATGCCAAGAAGTATAGCCTTGAGCATGGTCAGTTGTTCACTATTGGCAAAGGTTGTAGGATGCGATTTATTATCATAGAGCATGGGAAACATGTGGATGGTTCATAAGCAAAAGCATTGACTCTATGCGAAAGTTTGTGCATATGCATAGTTGGCGGAAGCTCAGGGGCTATGCTGCACTTTCAGGTGACAGTAATGAGGTCAACTCAGACTGTTGTCATTAATATAGGGACTCAAGTGCTACTCTGTGATCCTTCCTGCAGTATCTTTGCTTGGATAAGTATTTATGAAGGTTTCCATAGCATTAAGGAATCTTGTAGCATCCCTTGAATGGGAAAGACCGTTTCCTTTGACTTACTGTGCATCAACTTTACTTTAAAATCGTCTAAATCTGTTTCACCTCACTGTTTCCTGCGAGCTTCAAGAAACAGTACTTGTTCTGATTTCTTTTCTCACTGATGTTCGGATGACTGATATGTATTTGTAGACAGTAGTTGGATGATTTTTTTTGCTTTTGTTCAATAATAATTTCTGAAATCCTCTATTAATTATCCACATTATTCCATTTATTCCCTGCACAAAAAACATATCTGTTTTTTTAGTTTTCTTTAATCATCTCCCTTTAGACACATCCATTCCACTGGTATTTTACCTCAGCACTTCCCCGTTCTTTGCTTGTTGCATATCCCCTCAGTCTGGTGAGTTCAAAATATTTACAGGTTAAGTCGAGCAGTTAGCTCTATAGTTTCTCCTTTTATGCATGACATATATTATTTCTGCTGCAGTTTGTTAAACGAAGTTTGCTTCTAATGTAAACCTATAATTTTGTGATAGCTTCCATCAGTGTATGCGTTTTCTTATTATGATAAACATTTATTTCTGCCTTTACTTTTAAGATATATAATAATTTCTAAGTTCTATATAGGTGTACAAGCAATTATGAAACAGTCTGAAATTAATATGGTACATGGAAACACAATTACGAGTTTGTTATACAACATGTTTCATGTGAGATTTCTTAAAGTTTACTGGCATTTGCAAACCGTTGCTTGCATAAATGGATAGACAAAAAAAATGACCAGATTTAACAAAAACACTGCCAAAAATTAGTATGATTATAGTTAATTTAATTTATTAATAATTTCATAAAAGACATTACAAAATTAAGCATATTGGATTCCGGAACAATTTACATACAGATTTAAAGATAAGAAAGAAACAATTTGCATGAGAGAAGGAATTGATGAAGCTCGTCCATTTGTGATTCATGCTGTAATTTTGATTAGATAAATTGGAGAATTACAACGTATGGAGGACTTCCTAAAGATATTAATTGTTAATTCCCAACATGGTAAAATGTCATGCAACTCATGCTAAATACTATAATAATGTTTATGAATCAATGGTATCTTCTATTTAAGTTGGAGGGAGGTAGATAGGGACTTTCTAATGATACTTATCGAGTTATCGTTTATGCCCTACACGTAAAATGTCTTGCAACTCATGTTAAATACTATAATAATGTTAATGCAACAATTGGATGTTCTATTTAGGTTTGCTTCTCATATATTATCTTCTTAATTTTTGTGCTTGTGTGCAAAATCTTGAGATAATGTAGGGTGATGGTAGGTCAGTAGAATTATTATGAGTAAGCACATATGTGCTTTGGTAGGCTAGAGACTGATTTATATTTTGTTATTACCCTTGCAGCTTGGAATGCTACTGGATCGGAGGATTTCGCATTACATTGTTCCAGTGTTGACATTTGTTTTACTTTACTCAAAACTTCCCCATAAGGTTCTCCATATGTTGCTGAGCTTCTGAAATAGGCATTTTATCTGGCAAACTTTACGTGTCTTATGGTCTTATCTTCTGATGTTACAGGAGCTTCGTTTTATAATTGGTTCTGTCCCCATTTTCAATGTGTCAGCAGCAGTCACAGCTAGCAGAATGTATGAATCTTAATCTGGTGTTTCTTCCCATATTTTATTTTAAATACCTAGAAGTTGGAGGTCCTCTCTTTTCGACCTAATGTTTGTTCTTTTTTTCTTTTCACTCAATTGCTTCGTTGACATTACTCTCAACCAATACTATATTTATGATATATGCTTTTTGTTAGTTATTGATTATCTATGAGTTTTAGTGGTGGCACACCCAGGCCTATCGCATGTATTCTTTGTATCTTTCGTCATCCAGGCAATATATGTAGTTAGAGGTTCTGGATAATTATGTTAACAAATTCATTGACTTATGAAACATTTTAAAAATTATTACCTAATGGTTTGTTACGTCTCTAGAAGGAAACATTAATACTTTATAATGACCATACTCGTTCTTGTGTTTTCATGCAACCATCTAAACATTTCATTGCAGTAAATTTTTTTTTGACTATTTGACCTAGTGACGTATACGCCATAGTTCACTGTAGTGCTTGTTGCTGTTTTTCATGTAGCTGTTCTTTTGCAATCCTGTCACAGCCAGAACAATTGGACCATACTTTACTGCTGGCCTTCTGCTGTCGTGCTTTACTTTTTTAAAATCACTGAGCCATGTCTAATTTTCATTTAAGTTCTAATGGTAGTTGCTACACTATGTAGTTCTGTTTATTCTAGTGGATATGAGATTCAAGTGATCGGTCAATAAATTCAAGATCTAGTTGATTTGTTAAATACCTTGAATTAATGAAAGTTGGTGCCTAGAGAATTGCACTTAAATGTAGCATAATTAGAGAAAGATAATATAAATGAAAAGGATAAGTTTTTGTCTGAACAATCTTATGGAAATACGTACGCAGATATAGAGGTTCAGAAAAGCTGTTCTTGTCACGTACACCTAGATGAGACTTCAGGCATAATCTATATTAACATCTGGCTAACTAGGCAAGCGTTTGGGTGACTGGGTGATTGAACTCTTTTGTATTCATACCAGGCATTGTTGTAAGATCTCATTGTAGCGTCTAAATGCAGGAAACAAAGATATGGTGAGGAGGGAAGAGATGGAACAAAAGAAAATTAATGATTGTTACTTATTTTATCATTAAATAATCAAAATTTAGTTTACTATCTTTTTTTCTTCGTTGCTTTTCACCTCAAAATCTTTTTCTGTTTTAATTGTTTTCTTGGGATGCTTCTTTAATTTCAAGAAATTTTAAATGTAATAGTGATGCAAGACAATCTTTTGTAGTTGATAGGATTACTAGAATCTTTTTTATTTCAATAACATTTGATGTAATCTCCATTTTTATGTAAGATTTCTTAGGATTTGATTTATGATTTTTAGGATCTCCCAGATTTATTTTTTAGATATTTTATATTTGTTTCCTTTTATTAGGATTTTATTTACTTTCTAGATTTATTTTTCTCTATAAGTAAAGTTGTAACCCTTTATGAGAAATAGACCATTGATTAATAAATTTATAAAAAAATTTAAGTTGTGAGAAGTCTCTCTTTGAGCATGCGAAGTGTTCTCTTGCATGTGAATTGTCTTTTTGGGTGTGAAGCCCTTAGGAATGAGGCCCCTAGGTGTGAAGCATAATATCTATCAAAACTCTCTCCCCTTTCAACTATCCTTCTCGATCGACCCCTCTAAAAAAATCTGCAACATTCAACTCAAGCCTAAATACCCCAAAACTGGATCATGAGTGAACAAAACTTCCTAGTATCACCGAAACTAAAACCCAAAAACTGGATCACGAGTGAACAGAATTTCCTAGTATCTCGGAGCCCTCTTTCGCTGCTCGCAACAGATGTCCGATGAGTTACCACAAGCATACTGTGTATCGCCAACACCGGATCTCCTCCAATCGGCCTCCGATGAATTACGACATTACACTGCCAAGCCGTCGACGATTCCTCTCCTCCGAGGAAGCTCCATCAAGGCCTGACAACAGTGTTCGAAGTTCAATTAGCGCTCCAACATATCCGGACACCGCTCAGAAGAGCTATCGAAGACTTAAAAACCTACCCGCTCCTCCTTTTAGATTTCAATCAGATGGGGTAACCGCCAAAGATCACAATATCAAGAGCTTTGTAGGTTCCAATCAGATCCGGATTGGTGTCGAAGGAAACACATTCAAGAATCTTCTACTTTCCGATTAGAGCCCCCGCCCCAGTGCACATCAACTGGCATCACGATGCGGACCAGTAGGGCTGAGCAAACTTCAGTTTAAACCTAGTAAACTTACCGAACTGCCTAATTTTTGGCAGTTTGGATTGGTTTTGTAATCAATTCGGTTCAGGTCGGGTTCAAAAAGTTTCAACCCGCATACACTGAACCGACTGACCACCATTAAGAAGTGCAACCAGTTACATACCCTTCACTCCCTGCAGGCCACCTAGTGTACCCATGTGTGGCTTGATCCAATTTCAAATTTAAAAAGCCAAATCAATGCTAGTTGTCATACATTTGAATGTTGTTAGAGAATGTGACAGATCCGATGATACTAGGAAATACTGTTCAACATGTGAACGGTAACAGGTTTACTGATCCCCGTGAACGATTATGGGTTCATTGTTCACTCATGAACAGTATCCGGTTTTTAGGGTTTCTTTGGGTATTTTGGCTTGAGTTGGATGTTGCAGATTCTTTTGGAGGGATTGGTTGAGAAGGATAGTTGAAAGGAGAGAGGGCTTCACGTCCAGTGGCCTCACATCTAAAGAGGCAATTCACATGTTAAAGAACACTTCACATGCTTAAGAGAGAATTCACACAACTGAAAAAAAAAATAATCAATTGTCTATTCCTCATACAGGATTACAACTTTATTTATAGAGAAAACTAAATTAGAAATCAAATCCTAATCAAATCATGATAAAAGGAAACAAAGATAAAATCTCTAACAAAATAAAATCTAGGAGATCCTAAAAATCACATATCGATTCCTAAGAAACCTTACCTAAAAATAGATTCTAGTAAATCCTAAACTTTTCTGATCAATGACCAAAGATCATCCTGCATCAAGTAGGCTCCACCCTACAGCCTGCTTTGGACTCACTTTGTGTTTTTGTTCCCTTTTACCCTTTTCTCCAGTGGACTAACCTCATTTTGTCTGTAATATTATTGTGGGTAACCTCTTTTGTCTGTAATATATACTTAATTTCTTATCATTGAGTTGAATACTAATCAGTCTTTATTGATACTAATCATCTGAGGCTTGTGGTTAAAAAGTCATTTGCTCATATCAAAATGTGGGTAGTCCTAAAATGTATTTTTTTGTGCATTGATGGTGAATGCAACAATTTGTTGAAACAAAGACCCATTTTAGCATAGGTCTTGTGGAGTTTGATGATATGATTACACAATATTTTAGCTATAATGGTCATCTTTTCAACTTTCTTTTGATTGAACCTGTCTATGATTGTTATATCTTAAAGGATGAGAAGTATTGATCTTCACAATGGATGTTTGCTAATTTTTCTCTACTCTAGTATACAAGACTGCTTGGCTTGAAATAACAAATTAATTGCAGTAACTCATGTTGCATATCACTCCATTAAGCATAATATATTTGACTTCTTTTCTTTTTTGCAACTCATCCAGATATAACAACAGAAAGAAGAAGATGTGGAGGTTGCTTTACATTGCCATGCTCGGATCTTTCTTAGTTAGGTGAATTTGAATCATAACTCAATAATGATTGCAAGCAATTGTTTGTTGCATATTGTGCTTATGGTGTGTGATTTTCATAGTCTAGGATGTTCCTTCATAATGTTTATGGCATCCTACAGCAATTATCCTGGAGCTTATGCTTTAAATTCTCTAAATCATTGTACAGGTAAATTGATTTGACTTCTTTTAATTTTCGACCATTTATTATGTAACAACAAATGAAGTATTATGTTCTACACTTCCTACTTTCTTCCATGCCTCAGAACTTTCTTTTAATGTGTTACTCATATTATAACCTATTGTATAAAGGTCAGTCAGGTAATCTATTAATCACATGCCGTTGGTGTGACTTGACTAGGATTACAGTTTGGTGGAATGATGGCACTATTCAGGGTAAATGGTTGCATATCTTCAATCAATCAGTGATACATGCTAATAAGATAACTATATGAAGATGGTTAGTGATCATACAATACATATTAGCAACACTTCCATTTGCTCAGCATAATCCAAATATTATGCTTTATTGTCACATGGCCCTGCTGCGCCTACAGTAGTTCTTTGCTGCTTTTAGCTCTCCTATCCATGCATCTCTTCTGGACAAGCCCATGCATTCTTGCTACCCCACTCTATCCAAGTAGCAGTTTAGGAAGGTAGTGTTACCTCCCTTGCCCCATGCTCTAACCCCGTGCCTTGCGTTATCTGGTTATGGAGCTTGCAATTAAGCATGTGGACGGGATTCTTCATTTCTTTTCCTAGTTCCTACCAGACGGATTTGAAGATGTCAATTCTTATTTTATTGTTAAGAGATTTCTTTTTCAGTCATGTAATTTGTGTCACTTCTGTTAGATTAGGCCAAACCTTGAATGTGAATAATTGTTGATTCAGTTTATACTTGACATGTCAGAATAGGTTCTTGATGTCCTGCCTTTGTTAATTGGTGTCATCTGGACCATTAACTCTTTTGTAGAGTTTAAGTCAACCTCAAATAATTATCTAATGTCATTATTTATTTATGATGAACAATCTTATTTTGGCATATGATTCTTCTATAAAATTCCTAACTTTTCCAGCGTAAATCCTAAAATATTTTCTGTATATGAATGTTGGATATTGTGTTTTACTTCCATGATGTCCTCACTCCAAACAGGACATGGAGTGCACCGTTTTTCTGATACTTGAAAAGCCACACATTTTGTAATGTTTTTATCAACATTCAAATGAGGATTAACTTCAATGAGCAAAGCTATTGATATTTCACTTTGTTTCTTTCTTCTGTAGTTTTTTATATTATTATTTTTGGCAAAATCTTGGGTCACTCTCTCTATGCCTGCAGGTGCCTCTAAAAGCATGATAGGCAAATTGGTTCATATTGACTCCTATGCAGCAATGAATGGAATCTCCCGATTCTTAGAAACTGATAAATTTAGGTGTGTTGCTTTCTTTTATTTTATGGACAATTTTTTCTCATGTTAGAGGAAAAAAATTGGGTCTTTTGAGTTCTTTGCAGTATTTATCTTAATACGAGCTTCTTTGCGCAAGACGTCTATATTTTGTAATATTTCTAGCTTGTCGTTGCTTCTTTCTTTTAGTAATCGTTCATGAGACACAGATGATTGTCTTTGTAATAATTTTTTTGTTTGTGTGCAAGTAAAGATACTCTAAAGAAGAAGGAATTTCCTTGGAAGAATACCGTCAAAGAAATTTCACTTTCTTGCTCAAGTGAGTACATAACCGTACCTGATTGTTTACTATCTTATTATCGAGTACAACGAATTCCAATTCATGTGCTGAAATTTTTGCTGATATATGGCATAGATGCTTCAAAAAGTGACCCAGATAGCCATCTTTTATATTCATATGCCAAAATATCTGTCTTAAGACATGTACAGACCATATAACATCTTGTATATTCATTATGTTGGTATATGCCGATGTATCTTAATTTGAATGCCTTTTCCTTGATGAACAATTAAGAAGTTGGTTTCCAATCTTAAATTGCACATGGTGTTCTTCATAGTCGTTTGTAGTTGAACAGATGGATTATTACTTTGGCGTATGGCTTCATGTGCCCCATAGGAACAGCTCAACATTATCTTCATTAGGCTGACCCGCCAAAAGACTCCCTAATTGTTTATATACAAAGGTTTTAAATATCAAATATCGGGGAAATATCGGATGGCAAAATTCATATCAGATCGCGGTTATCGGGGAAATATCGGGGATATGTGGTAAATATCGGAATGCCATAACGGATGTTTGCATATTTAGTATAATGCCTAATATGTAAATCATCATACTTTATGCAATCTAAGCATACAAAATATAAATAACATGTTTAGGATCACTAATCAACCTTGTAAAACAAATATAAGTACAAATCAACATTGCAACATTCGTCTGACGTTTTTGAGGTCAAAATGCCATTTGTATAATCGGGAAGTCGTGATATCTCACTTGAAAAATTGCTAAATGCGGTATATTGTTTTGCAACAAGCCATAGAAAAGGATATATCGGCCAACACCTTGGCTAATATATTGGCCATATCAAGAATATATAGCCCAGAATAGCCAAAAAGTGATAAAGGATATTTAGGGACCATACAGGTTGCGGCAAGCCCTATAAAATTACATATCGAGCGATATATCCGGCCATGTCGGGGATATTTAAAACAATGTTTATATATGAACCCCTAGTAATACGCACAGTATATGGTTACTGCTTATATCTTTAGGAACCATTAATCAAAATTTTCCTATGTTATTTTCAAAATGCTTTGATGACTTATGGATCTTGTTTCTTTGCTATTCAGTTAGACATTTTATTCCCTTTCTCCCTATGCATATGAATGTTTTGGGGGCCAATTTCGTAGTTGCTATTAATTAATTTTGTATTTTATCACATATATTGAACTTGTCTACTAGTTCACTAGCCAATTTCATAGTCGCCATTTAGTTGTTTTGAACATCACAAACATTAAACTTGTCTAGTCGTTTAAGAGAGAAAAAATGATTCCCACACAAAAGGAAATTCTTCATACATGTAAACAAATTACTGGGTAGGAAGTAGGTGAATGGGAATCAATGGCTCATACGTTACAGGAAATTCCTTAACATCTAAATTTGTTAAGTAGGTGTGCGTGGTCGAGCCCTTCATATTCCTGTCTATGAATAAATTATCTTAAATTCATTTGTTATCAATTACTATATATAGCCTTTTTTATTTGTATCGTTTATAGTGAGCATCCCGACATTGATGGATTCAAGTGCTTATTCGCGGTAGATGGTTTCTCAAGAGCTCGTTTTCAAATTGGATTTCCACCTATCACACTGGTAAGATGTGCATCTTTTTTGACACTTATCTGAGGAACGCTTACAAAAATAAAGTGGTGTTAAGACATTGGCTTGAAAGTTTGGCAGCTGATGTCACTTATGTCAGATACCAAACATTAGTGAAATGATACTATGCAAGTTTCTTTCTCCATATGATTTATTCTTAGTTGTGTTAGTCAAATGAGTACTAATGACCTCCATGGCACAGGTGGCGGAGCCCAGAGTATTTGTCCATGGAAATATGAGAGATCAGGATTTAGCCCTTTTAAGTTGGCCGGGTTGTCCATGATTGCACATGGAATTATTGAAGATGATGAAGAAATGGATCAGATTTCACTGGTTGTTAAATTAAACTGTGAATTCTGAGCTAGCAGTGAATTGGGAGAATTGTAGAGATAATTTAGATTGATAAATTAACTGTTCAGTTTTGTAGTTTCAATTGTACATTTTTATCACAATGATGTAGTTGAAAGCAAAGCAAATATCCATGTTTTAACAGGAATAAAGTTGTGGGAAAAGAGAGTTAATGTTGCTGAAGAACTCAAGGTGGTAAAAAAAAAAAACATTGTAAGGGATCTAGAAGAACTCACCCCTAAAATTGTAGAGAACCTAAATCCTTATAAGCTCACATCAAGTCATCCATATAATCGATGTGGGGATAAATGGATCCTAATATATTACCACACTTCCGATATTGGTGCCCACGCAGGCTGGCTGTGTCCTAATCTTTTCCTCGTCGGACATTGCAATCCGAACATCACTCATAGACTTTGCACTAAACTAGTGTTGGGCGAGCACTGTATTACCAGTGTCACCATCCCTGCTGCTCGATTGTTTGATTGCATTCGGAAGGTGGGGTCGGCTTTGATACCACGTATAAGGGACCAATAAGAATTCATGCCTAAAAGTTAACTTGTAGAGGAAAAGAATCCGAATCTCTTATAAATTCACATCAACTCACCCATGTAACCGATGTGAGACTAAATGTAGACCTGTCCATCCAGCCAGGCTCGGCCAAGAAATCCGGGCCCGGGCCGGGCAAAACCGGAGCCCGGACCCGGACCCGGGTACCCCGGGCCGGGCTTTGGGCCGGCCCGGTTTTTTTAATTTTTTTATAAAAAATACTAAAAATTAGTTTAAAATTATTATATTTTATATAATTATGTATTAGTATATACTTACAAATTATTATGTAACTATATATTATATATACGTATATTATATGTAAATATATTGTATATATTTATAAGTTATAACTTGAGAGAGAGAGAGAGAATCGCATAAGTAGCCATTGCCCGTTGGACCAAGAGGGAAGAAGTAGCAGTTGTAATATACTATACTTATATACTAAGAGAGAGAGTATACACACACATATTATACATATATAAGAGAGAGTATACTTACATATACATATATACTAAGAGAGAGAGTATATATATATGCACACATATATTATACATATATAAGAGAGAGTATACTTATATATACATATATACTAAGAGAGAGAGTATATATATACACACACACACACATATATTATACATATATAAGAGAGTGTATACCTATATATACTTATATAAAAGAGAGTATACATATATAAGAGAGAGTATACTTATATATACATATATACTATAAGAAAGAGTATATATATACATACATTATACATATATAAGAGAGAATATTCTTATATATACTTATATAAGAGAAAATATACTTATATATACTTATACATATATATACTTATATATACTAAGAGAGAGTATATATATACACACATATTATACATATATAGAAATATATTATATATACATATTTGGCCCGGGTTTCCGGGCCGAGGCCGGCCCGGCCCGGGCCGGCGGGCTTTTTGGACACCCTTAACTAAATGGACCCTTAGAAAATTGTTATTATTCTTCAGGTGACCAATTAAATAGTTGAGTGTTTTCATTTATAATTTCAATATTATGTGTGGGCCGGTCTTGGTGATAATGCATGAGGATTATAGAACCTTGGGAAATGCGTATTATGCATAGCGTAGGTCATAGTTGAATATCGCCACGTCTCTTTATTGCTCTTGTTTAGTGGATTGATGAGAGAAATGGGTGTCTACTGTTATACGTTGAGGATTTCACAGTCACTAGACGAGAAATGCCTCCCTCCTTTTACCAAAGGGGCGAAAAAAAAAATGCAGAAATCATGTTCCGTCACTCTTTCGTGTCGCCTGCTCCTAGCGTTTAGAGAAGGGAAAGTTAGAGCAAGGACATACTTTCCAGCGGCTCATTGGCTGCACTGAACACTATTTTCTATTCTTTCTTGCTTTTTAGTCAACAGGGTATTTCAAACGGTTCTATCAATTTTTATAGATGGGAAAATTGTGTCAAGACCCCTAAAGTAATAACTTTATGTGACTGGTCCCTCCAATTTTTCCCCATGTGCTGCAACTAAATTACAGATCTATGTGATTCAGCCTTTTTTTTTCATGTACTTCTCATTCCAACTAAGCAGAAAGAGAAAAAAAACAAATATAAAAGCCCAAAATACCATCTTCCTCCTCTCTCTTCCTTCTCTCCGGATCTAAATCTGGTCCTTCTTCCTCCTCTCCTCTTCTCCTCTCTCCTAACCCATTTACTTCCCCCTCTCTCTTCCTTATTTTTTCTCTCAGACGCCGACATCCCCCTCCGCCGCCGTCGATCTTGCATGCACGCTCCGGCCATATTGTTCGCTCCTTTTCTCCCAAATTCTTCCCGACACTAAAGGCAAAGAATGTTAAATCTAAAAGGTTGTATGGTCTTTATATTTTTCATGTTAAGTCTAATTTAATTCTTTTTAAATCTAATTTAAATCATGTAAATCTAATTTAATTTGTTTTAAGTCTAAAAACAAGTTGAATTAGACTTAACATGAATCAATTTGGACTTACGATGAAATTAGACTTAAAATAATTTGAATTAGACATAACATGGTTCATGTTGAGTCTAATTTAACTTGTTTTTAAACTTAATGGATCATGACTAAGTCTAATTTAACTTATTTTAAGTCTAAAAAAGTTAAATTAGACTTAACACGAATCATGTTAAGTCTAATTCAACTTATTTTAAGTCTAATTTCTAGTTAAGTTCAGCTTGGTTCGTGTTAAGTCCAATTTGATTTGTGTTAAGTACAGTTTGGTTCGTGTTAAATCAAATTTAATTCATTTTAAGTCTAGTTTAATTCAGTTTAAGTAATTCATTTTAAGTCTAGTTTAATTCATTTCAAGTCCAATTTAAATCATGTTAAGTCAAATTTAACTTGTTTTAAGTCTTAAAACAAGTTAAATTAGACTTAACATAGTTCAAATTAGACTTAACATGAACTATGTTAAGTCTAATTCAACTTTTTAAAGTCTAATTTCTAGTTAAGTTCAGCTTGGTTCGTGTAAGTCCAGTTTGGTTTGTGTTGAATACAGTTTGGTTTGTGTTAAATCTAATTTAATTCATTTTAAGTCTATTTTAATTCAGTTTAAATAATTCATTTTAAGTCTAGTTTAATTCATTTCAAGTCCAATTTAAATCATGTTAAGTAAAATTTAACTTGTTTTAAGTCTTAAGACATGTTAAATTAGACTTAACATGAACCATGTTTAGTCTAATTCAACATGTTTAGTCTAATTCAACCTTTTCCAAGTCTAACTTATAGTTAAGTTCAGTTTGGTTCGTATTAAGTCCAGTTTAGTTTGTATTAAATCTAATTTGGTTCGTATTAAGTCTAGTTTGGTTTGTGTTAAATCCAGTTTGGTTCGTGTTAAATCTAATTTAATTCATTTTAAGTGTAGTTTAATTCAGTTTAAGTAATTCATTTTAAGTCTAGTTTAATTCATTTTAAGTCCAATTTAAATCTTGTTAAGTTAAGTTTAACTTGAACAAGTTACATTAGACTTAACATGAACCATGTTAAGTCTAATTCAAATTATTTTAAATCTAATTTCATGTTAAGTCCAATTTGATTCATGTCAAATCTAATTTAATTCTTTTTAATCTCAATTATGTTAAATTTTTTTTAAGTCTAATTTAAATTATGTTAAGTCTAATTTAACTTGTTTTAAGTCTAAAAACAAGTTGAATTAGACTTAATATGAATCAAATTGGACTTAACATAAAATTAGACTTAACATGGTTCATGTTAAGTCTAATTTTACTTGTTTTTAGACTTAACATGAATCATGTTAAGTCTAATTCAACTTGTTTTAAGTCTATACAATGATTAAATTAGACTTAACATGAATCATGTTAAGTCTAATTCAATTTGTTTTAAGTCTAATTTCTAGCTAAATCCAATTTGATTTATGTTAAGTCTAATTTGATTTATGTTAAGTCTAATTCCGTTCGTGCTAAGTCAAATTTGGTTCGTGTTAAGTCTAGTTTGGCTCGTGTTAAGTCCAGTTTGGTTCGTGTTAAATTTGACTTAATTCATTTTAAGTCTAATTTAATTTATTTTTAAGTTAAATTTAAATCATGTTAAATCTAATTCAACTTATATTTAAGTCTAAAGTAAATTAAATTAGACTTAACATGAACCATGTTAAGTCTAATTCATATTATTTTAAGTCTAATTTCATGTTAAGTCTAATTTTATTCATTTTAAGTCTAATTTCGATCATATTCAATTCCGTTTAATCTAATTTAAATCATGTTAAGTCTAGTTCAACTTATTTTAAGTCTGATTTCATGTTAAATCCAATTTGATTCATGTTAAGTCCATTTTGATTCATGTTAAGTCCAGTTTGATTCATGTTAAATCTAATTTATTTTCTTTTAAGTCAAATTTAAATCATGTTAAATCTAAATTCAACTTATTTTAAACTTAAAACAAGTTAAAAGACTTAACATGAAACTAGACTTAAAATACTTTGAATTAGACTAAACATGGTTCATGTTAAGTCTAATTTAACTTGTTTTTAGACTTAAAATAAGTTGAATTAGACTTAACATGATTTAAATTGGACTTAAAATGAATTAAATTAGACTTAAAACGAATTAAATCAGATTTAACACGAACTAAACTGGACTTAACACGAACCAGTCTGGACTTAACACAAACCAAATTAGACTTAACATGAATTAATTTGGACTTAACATGAATCAAATTGGACTTAACTAGAAATTGTTGGCCTTCTTATTTTGATGATGTTTAACAAACAATTTACTCCTAATGTTGTTTGTCTAGTGTTTGTGTTTTCGTATTTATTCTAAGCAAATAACGAGTTGGAGGATGATGGAATTGCGCATTCACGATCATATCCAATGGAGGTTGACGGAATTGTGGAGTGAAGTCATACAATTCAAGTTGAAGATCCAAGTTCAAGTTTCATCCGCAAGATTACCAAGAAGAGCTTATTGAAGATCAAGATTGCTTGGGTAATTTAGTTTTAGGTTTTATATTATGTGTGTTAGTACTTTAAGCTCAATCATATACACACATTTAGTTTTAGGTTTTATATTATGTGTGTTAGTACTTTAAGCTCAATCATATACACACATACACATTTTAGTTT